AGGGAGAGGGAGAGGGAGAGGGAGAGGCCCACTGGATAGAGGGCCTCACTGCAACTTCTCAGCTGGGGACAGAATCTCCAGTAGACTTTTTCCTGGAGCCAGAATCAGTATAGGTCTTTCCTTCAAGAACTTTCTCTTCTGGCTACAGAGAGGAGAAAAATGGGAGAAGGGTGTGTGCCTTTGGATTCCATGGTCCAGACCAGGAGACTGGGGAGCACTCAGGCTTCTTGGGCTGTTGGTTTTGTCTGCTCATTTATGTGTGTGTGTGTGTATGTATGTATGTATGTATGTATGTATGTATAGGATCTCATGTAGCCCCAGCCAGCCTTCAACTCACTCTGTAAGTTAAGTTGCTCTTGAACTCCAGATTCTCATGTCTCTGCCTCCTGAGTCCTGGGATTATAGTGGGTCCAAGGCACATATGGAATATTCTGCTTGGTGACTACAGCCAATGGCAAAAGGTCACATTATATCTGGCCTATTCATGTGAAATTTCCATAATGAAATAGAAACAGAATCTTACCAGTTCTGAGTCTTCAGTTTAAAACAATGAAACTGCTCTGAACATACTGAATGAAAACTGCTGAGTAGTTCATTTAAACTGTATGCTCTGTATTTTATGTATCTTTCATCTCTTCTTTTTTTTTTTTTTCTAATTTTGAGATAAAGTCCCACTAAATAACCTTGAACTTGTGGTGAGAGTTTTCATCTGTCTCCTGAGTGCTGAGATTACAAAAGAGTGAGCATTTACTGTACTCAACAAGTATATTTCAATAAATCTTTTTTTTTGCTTTGATTTTTGAGATAAGGTTTCTTGTACCCCATGCTAAACTCATATTTGTTGTATAGTCCAAAATGACCTTGAACTCCTGATCCTTTTACCTCCACCTCCTGAGCGCTGGAATTAGAAGCACAAACCACCATACCTAGCCAAGGTTTTTATTTTAAGAATGAAAACTCACAGAATACATACCCAGGCACCTGCCTCCAAAGCCTTTATTAAATATAGTGCCACCTGGCCTAAGCCTACACAAACTGTTCTAGGGGTTTTTATTTAGGCCTCCAAGAGCCCTGGACAGGAGAAGTATGATGGAGATAGTTATCACAAGATAGAGCAGCCATGGCCCTCTAGACCAGTGGTTTTCAATCTTCCTAATACTTCGACCCTTTAATAGCATTCTCCATTCTTTTCATTGCTATGTCATAACTGTAATTTTGCTACTGTTATGAATCATAATATAAATATCTATGTTTTCTGATGGTCTTAGGCAACCCCTGTGAAAGGGTCCTTCAATTCCCAAAGGAGTCACTACCTACAGGTTGAGAACCACTGCACTAGAGGAACTCCTAGGGCATAGCTGAGTTCTACCAGGAGGCAGGTATGTATTCTTGTTACTGGCCTCAACAGGGCTACTACACCCTGCATCAGACAGAGGCCCAGGAAGACTTTCTGGGGGATCCAGGAACAATAAGCAGACTAGAGCAGGCAGAAGAGAACCTTTGGCTTGTGTAGGGAACAGCTGAAAAAAATATGCCCTGGGGTAGGTGGGAGTCTGAGCAGTAAGCCAGCCTGTCTTCCTTTCTGGTTGGAGCTTGGGGTAGTAAGGAGGTAACCAGGAGAAGAGTATACTATATACTTCTAGGTTCTTCCTTAAAGTTAGGTCAGGTCAGCACTTCCATTAAATATGCTTTTTTTTGTGTGTGTGTGCCTGGAAGGTCCTTGTGTCTGTGGTTAACACTCTGCAATAAACTATAACTGCATGCCCAGCCCAGGGCCCATTGAGTCACTCAACCTGGCCCTCTAATTTGGGGGCCACTCCCAGACCATCCAGACAGCACCTCAGTCTTTGAGCCTGCCCCTCTCCTTCTTCTAGTTCCCCTTCCTCATGCCTCAACTTTCTCTAAGGAGGCTAGGAAACAACCTGGACCCCAGCTGTAGCAAGGCTGGGAACAGAAAGTCCTTGCTGGCCAGCAGCAGCAGCAGCAGCAGCAGCAGCAGCAGCAGCAGCAGCAGCAGCAATCTCTTGTCCTCTGGCCTCCCATGCCTGGAAGGAGGCAGGGAAGTCAGGAGGAGAGCAGTGGGAGGGGAGGAAGACAGGAAGGAAGAACAGGCATTTCCTGAAGCCTCCAGAACTCCTAAGGAGGAGGCAATTACACAGCTGTCTTAGCTCCCCAGGAACCAGGGCACAGTAGAGTTACTAGAGCCTTCAGTTTCCACAGGGCAGTCACAGTGTGTGACTTCTGCTTACCCCAGAAAGGAACAGGTCCCCTACAAGTCTATCTTGTATGATTCCCCAGAGGCCTGGAGAAGGTTAGGCTATCTTGAAGAGCTATCCTGCACCCCCCACCCCACCTACATTGCAGCCTGAGAAGCCCTTTCTCTTGCTGACCAGAGCCAAGAATGTAAGGAGGAGCCTAACCTTTTAGATATATGGGAAACACAGCCTTGAGCAACTATCACTGCTTGCTGGGAGAAGCTGTACTGCTGTGAATACCTGCCATGGGCACCTGCCCTCCCTGGAGACCTGGCTAGGAAACACTGCTGACTTCTTGTTCTGAGAAGCCAGCCCTCCATCTACTGTAAGACAGTTACTCTTCTGGCCTACCCAGGGAACACCCTGGACAAGAACTGGTAGAAGGGCAGTACACAGGACATATTATATGCCCTATGTCTTGTGGAAGGGCCACAGAGGAAAGGGGCTAAGAAAAGGAGAGGACCCTTTTCCTAAGCAGCATAATCTCAACCTGGCCTGTGTGGAAAGGGCCTAGCATCAGCTGCAGTCTGTCCCCCTACAGCTGTTTTGAAGCTGTTTGCAGCCTTAGCTTCAAATCTGAAGGGGAGGTGCAGAGAGAGAGAGAGAGAGAGAGAGAGAGAGAAAGGGCACCCATAGGGGAGCTGTGAACATGTTGGTTCTCTGTGAGCATAAAAACCTTTTGGTAAGAGTCTCTGGGGTAGGGGTGAGCATGGCCTGGAAGCTTGGCAGGTGTCCCTTGCAGAGGTAGCAGCTGCTGAGAAAACTGCCCCAGGGGCTTCTACCCACCAGACCTCATGCAGCTGGGTTGGCTTCAGGGTCCTTCTGCTAGGCTCTGTTTTGAGTCCTTCCCTGTCCTGTTTCCCTAGTTTATCCAGCCAGCCTAGTGGGTGACTGCAGCTTGAACCTAGGCTCTCCACAACACTCCTCCTGTTTGTTCTGCAAGCCAGTGTTAATGATCAGTCCAATGCCTGGCTTCTGAATAAGCTAAGCTGCAGAGACCCAGGGGACACCTTGCACCTTCAAGGGAATCTGCAGTGTTTGAGTTGAAGCAGGTAGTAGCCCTGTCCATATGGAATCGGCATACTACTAGACTGTGAACAAGACCATGCATGGAGAATCAAAGAGATGATGGGAAAAGAGCACACCAGCCTGAGGGGACAAGAAAGACTTACAGAGAAGGCAGTATCCCAGTCTGTCTTTCAGCACTCTCTGCAGTGCTCCTGTGAGCTCCCACAAAGCCAGCCCTGAGCAAGGGGACTCAGCCTCTAAGACATGTCACATGCACATCAGAGTCACTTCTTTAGCAAGCATCTTGCCCAGAATGCTCCCAAGTTCACAGCCTTGCTAGATACCCACTCTTGGCCCCCTGGCTGTGTTCATGGCTGATGCCTACACCTTCCATGGCTGAACAGAGTCAGGCTATGAGACCCATAGACTGTAGAGGGCAGCCTCTCCTACCACTAAAGTGGCCACTGAGTGATGACCTGGAGCCTCAAGGTGGTATGAAATGGATACTGGGTGGGTATATGAGGTGGAGCAATTAGGGATACCACTTCTGCCAATATGCCCAAGAGATAGCTGAGGTAGTGGTAATGAGCCAAGCCTCCTCTGTCTGGAAGCTTCCCAAGTGCTGATGGCCAAGGCATGGCTGGTAAAAGCTGGCACTCTACACCAGGAGCTTTTTTTGACCTTCCCCTGAGGACATAATCATATAGCATCTCTCTTCTCTGGGCCACCAGGGTTGTAATTTCAGGGACTGAAGGGGGTTCCTTGAAGGCTCAGCCTGCTTGTGTCTAGCTATCTTTAGAGGTACAGTCTGGGGCATGGCCAGAAGAGAGAAAGTGGATCAGGACCATATTGTGGCCTGTGTAGATGGTTGTTGTCAAAGCTGAGGAGCCAGAAGGGGGTCATGGGGGACTTTGGGGCCCTGTGCTTTGAGTAAGGCTACACCTTAAGAGTGCTGCCTGGCTCTGGCCTGTGGAACCTGAAGGCTCTAGTAACTCTACTGAAGTCTCTAGCAGGTTTGGGGAAGAGCAGGCCAGGCCCTGTCTTTCAGGCCCTCTAGCTAGATTCCTAGCAAAGGACATAGCCTGAGGACTGCAGAACCCAGCATTTCCCAAGTGGTAGCAGCTGCTATGGGAATAGGATCTAGGGGTAGCCTTGGTACCAACAAGCATAGCATATTGAGCAAAGCTTACCCAGACCTGGAATCTAAAGCAAGAGGGAGGTTTGGTGTGATGGAATGTGGGAAAACCAGGCACAGAGGCTAGTGGATTGCAGGACTTGGAAGCTGATTGCATAGGGGGCAGGAAAAAAGGAGTAGAGATGCAAGGTCCTGTTGAGTCCCCTGGAGGATACACAGGCCAGCCTCAACAAATGCTTTGCTTCTCATTCTCATGTCTACTTGAACCTGACAGCCTTGGAGTATCCTTCTGGTCCCCACTGCCATTAACCTCAGTCCTTTTCTGTTACCTCAATGCCCCATCTTAATTTGGAGATTGATGAGTATTTCCTTTTTTGCCATATGACCCCAGGCACCTCATCCCTGCCATCACTACCAACTGGGTTGCTACTGTTGTATTCTCTCAGAGGCTCAGTACCCTGAGGTTCCCAGTTGGACTGCCTATACTGCTGGTGCCTGCCAAGTGACTCTCTAAGGAAGAAGTAGGCCACGTAAGCATGACCTCAGGAAATAGAGGATACTTCAAGCTTAGCCCTGCCTGCGGTTCTTTTGGGGGATGTCCCTTGTACTACCAGATCACATCTGTTACTGGCCAGCTCCTCTCACATCACCACTGGACTGAAGGCCTTGGCCTCTAGCTGCTGAGACCCTATAGCTCCAAGACCCTGGCTCTCTTGGAGAACTAGATCATCCTTGCCTCAACTATGCCTTGTTTGCTGGGCATCCTTATTAGTGATAATATGGGGACATAAAACCATGTTCTCTTTGTCTCATCTTGGTATCATCCCAATTCTAGATTGCTCTTAGGGATAGTAGAGGCTAGGTTGATCGTAGTCTAATTTCAACATTGATCATGAGGTGAGTCAAAGTATCATCTCATAGAATTTCTAAATTTAATTTCCCTGCATCTGTGTTGGGAACGCCACAGCAGTTTTGTTCCTTGCCCCATGCTCTGCCACCACATAGCCTCATAGACAAACTGGAAATAACTCAGGATCCATTCTTGAGGAGTTCCTGTTCCTTGCTCTCCTCCATCTGTGCAGGGGATTTCCACCCTGTCCTCTAAACCAGGGTCTGGTACTGACCTGTTGCTCTGACACACAGTGGGCCTCCTTGACTCATTAGCTTAGCAGGGCTAAGAATAGGGAGGATGGGGTGTTGGAGCTACCTAGCCCATACATCCTGTGCCTTCTGGGTCTGAATTCAGACTGTGAAGGGGGTAGGGCTGGATAGACTAGGAGGCCAGAGCAGGATGGGCAGGGCCTGGGATGGCTAAACTTGGGAGGAGGAGTTGGGAAAGCTGGGAAAGCAAGTCCAGTGCCTCCAGGGCTTCTGACCTCTGACCCAGCCCAAACAGGAAGTGCCATATCTATGGGCCCAGACCCCAGAGGAGAAGGAATGTGAGGATGAGTCCAAAGCAAACATTCCACCAGCTTCCTAGTCACCCCTACCCCCAGTCTGCTTTTCCTTTTTCTGCTAAGAATGGGGCAGGGTGTAGGAAATTGCTGCAGAATGAAACCAAAGCAAGAATGAATTTGCAGGCTTAGAGCCCAGCTGGAACTGGTGGCAGTAATAGGGCTCTGTAGTCCGTCTTTTTGTCCCCTTCCTCCATTTACAATGGTCCTTCTCCTGCTGCATTCTACCTGCCTTGTCAACTGATACTTTGGTCTTGTAAGCTCTGGAAGCAGGGACCTCAGATCTTTCCTTGTGGCTCTCAGCACAGGCAAAGTACAGGCCTAGGACCCCCAAGACCAAGTTCTCAGCACAAAGGACATATATTTTCCCCAGAGGGACAGAGGATGTGGATAAGGGACAAAGACAGGAGATAGAGGAAGAAGGACAAGGGAAAGGGAACAAGGGAGGGCGGAAGAGTATTTGTCTTGGAAAGGGGACATCAAAGTGCTGTCCCTAGACATAGAGGAGACACATGTGGCCCATAAGGCAAATGACGGTTTATAAAAATAAAGGGGAGAAACCCTGTGTTAGGATGAGATGTTTAATTTTAATTGGGCATGTTAATTAGATGAGCCAAAGGGGTGGGAGGTTGATCACTGGACTTCAAGCTGAACCTTGGTAGTCAGCTTCAGGAGGAGGAAGTGGCCAAATAAGGAAATAGACCTTGGAGGCTAGCTGTAAGAATGTAACCTAAGGGTTTTTCAGCAAGGCAGAGGGAAAAGGGAAGAAAGGCAAGGCCTTCTAGAGTCATACTTGCCATGCTCAGGACAGCTAGAGCCCCTTCAAAGACAACGGCTCTAGTGGCCTCATGGGGCTCCTCAGAGCATATCTTCAACCCAGTACAACTGGCCAGTCCTGTCTTCAGAACCCAGTAGGGCTGAGCCATCACCATTCTGGCACTGCAGGCTGATCTAGATCAGGTAGTCAGGAAATAGTCACTGCTAGATTCCCAGAGCTGGACCTCTGAGGTAGGTCTGGCTTTGCACACACCAAGGCTTAGTCCCCAGTAACTGCTGGGTGAATGTGACTACTCCCTTCTCTGGCATCTGACCACATGGGTTATAACTTGATTCCACAGGAAGTGAAGTGCACACCATTGGGAAAATTATTTTACCTGCCTGCATTTTAGTCTCCTATCTTCAAACTGTGGGTAGGACCCTGGATATATTAGGCAGTCTGACTTGAGGATGGGTTTACATGGACAAAGATAAGGGTTATGGTATAAGGAATGAATAAAGGGCCTCAAAGCTACTAATATGCAGCAGTCATCAGCTCATGGTTACTTTAGGACAAAAGGTGTTTTGAGCTTCCCTATCAACCTGCACCAGCAACCAAATGCTACTGTATGTCCTAGACCAGGACAGGAACATCTAATAGAGAAGAGGGCTCAACTATAGATGGTTTCTGGAACAATCAGGGTGAGCTGCAAGGGTTCAAGGCTCTGATGAGGAGGCTCTCAGAAGAAGTATGGGAACTAGGTCTCTGGGCCCTATGCTAATGAAGCAGCATGTAGGATACGGCCAGGGACTCCATGGCAAGGAGAAACAGCGTTCTCAGTGCATGCAGCTTGAATCTAAGGTGGAGGTGGGGGCTTCCAGAAGCTTAAATGAGATACATTTATTACATTAAAGTATAAACCAGTGTTCCCTCAGCCCCTTGAACTTCACCAGGTCATTTGCTGAATTTAAATTTAAGGGTCTTCATCGATCATGTGAAGAAGTGGAGGCATCTAAAATTGTCCAAGTGGTGCAAAGGTCAAGTGGAGCTTAGCTTGGGTGTTTTTCCTATTTTTGCTGGGTCTGAAGAACCACATTGTGGTAGGCCTAGATACAGAAGAAGGCTGTGGATGGGGTGTCACAGATCAATAATATTATTGTCCAGGTGTGTCTGTGTGTGTTGTAATGAATTGGAGTCCTGGGCCACATGTGTGCCACAAATGGAATTCAGGAATGCATGTCTGTGAAAGGAGTGGCAAGGGGAAAGAGAGAAACATCTACTGGGGCAGAGACATATAGGGAAGCTAGGTTGATGGTGGAAATTAGGCAATCTGGCTGCCACTTTACTTTGGGCCACTATGAGCCCCTGTTACTCCATGGTGGATCCTTGAGGCTTTGACTCTGCTGGCAAACAAGATCTTGTCCTTGCAGGTCTAAAAGAACAGAGGGTGGTAATGGACAGAATGGGTGAAAGCAGGAAAAGTGACTTGTTACAGTGATCTTTCATTCTCTGGTCCTGTAAGTGGAGCAATACATTGAGAGAGCTCCTTTGTCTCTTATCCCTGCAGGCTGCAGTCTCCATGCCTTCCATCAGCAGAGAAAACACCACAGTGCTGCAGTTAAGGAGAAGCAGGGACTGAGCCTGTGTTTGACTAGCAGCCAGCCCCCAGCTCAGGCCCCACATCATCGGCAGGCAGCAGGAGGGGGAGTGGAAAGCAGCTGGGTGGCCCCTCCCAGGCTGCTGTCTGCTTTCTTTTGCCCCCTTGGCAAGAGGGGAAGAGGAAAAAAGAATAATTAAACCCAAACGTCTTGGTAACTTTTTCCTGGAACAAGAAGACACAGGGCGGGAATTCTGGTCCTGGGAATGGGTGGGACTGTCTGTGGACCCTTGCCTTCTGTCCCCACCACAGCCTGTCCTGTGTTGGCGATCTGCAGATCATCATTAGCCTCTTGACAGCCCTCTCCCAACATCCTTTAGCCTGTCCCACTCTTTCTAGAATTGGATCCTTAACTCCATGGCCTCTGGTCATTGCCATGGTGAAAGGTCTGTATGTACCAACACCCTAACCAGCTGTCGAAATCAGAGGAAAGACTTTTTTAGGGTCTTCTGAGGGAGCCTGCTCTCTCATGCCTAAATTCTAGGTTTCTGTTGTGTTGGAACACCTGGTTGTGGGACTTTGTGATGGCAGCTCTAGGACACTACTGGTCTCTGCACTGCCCCTCCCTTTCATGTCCCTTCCTGTAGCTGTTGCTCAGCTAAAACCAGCTCTGGGCCAGCTCCACATGGGGTTCTTGAGTGCCAGAAGGGCAGGCATGGATATAGCTGAAGTAGGAGGATCTTGAGGTTGAGGAGTGAGTTGTGGGGGTAAGCCTTAGAAGTTGGCAAGGAGCTGGTGGTGATAGGGCCCTGAAGATAAATCTCAAACATGCCTCTGTTATAGATTCTCTGGAGTTTCCTGATTCTATGCTGCCCTTTATACTTTCCTGCCCAACTCTCTGTGTTTCTGGAGCCTTTCCTTCTTTTCTAGCTTCCATCTACCTGTCAGAGCAATGTTCCCCCACGGTGGACACTCATGAGAGTTTGATCTATGCCTGAGATGTCAGGTGGTCTTCCTGAATCTAGTTGCTGTTGGGTCCCAGCACACTAAGGTATAGCAGCAGTTCAGCACACTTTATCATCTTTTTGAGGAAGTTGGTGCCTAGCTCCTAGAACCAGGAGTCATGAGGAAGGCCCACTACTTCATCTATGCCAAGGATCCTGGGAGCATTGGCTGGCTAGGCCATGGCTCCCCTGAGTTTCACAACTCACATCTCCAGAAAGCACTCCCAAATGGTGGTAGACATTTCAGGAGATGATGTAGCCCAAGAAGACATGGGATGTACTCAAGGTGATAATTTTGATTCCCAGCTTCATTTGATTAATAAGTACCTAGGACATTAGTGAGGTATGCCCGTGTGTGTGTGTGTGTGTGTGTGTGTGTGTGTGTGTGTGTGTAATTCCAGAGAAGATTAACTAGGGACCTGCTCTGAATGTAAGTGGCACCATCCTATGGGCTCGGGGTCCTAAACTGTATAAGAAGGGCAAGAAAGCTGACTATTTTAGTTTGCTTTCTATTGTGATAACATCATGACCAAAAGTAACTTGAAGAGGAAAGGGTTTATTTTAGCTTACAGTTTACAGTCCATCATGAGGGGAAGGCAAGGTGGGAACCAAAGAAAGTTTCGAAGGAATGCTCATTACTGGTTTGCTCTTCATGGTTTGCTCGGTCTGCTTTATTAAACAACTCAGGGCCACCTGCCTGGGGGTGGTGCCACCTGCAGTGGGCCAGGCCACATCAACCTTAATCAAGAAAATGTCCCACATGCTAATCTGATGGAGACAGTTCAATCAAGGCTCCTTTTCCCCCAGATGACTCTAGTTTGAACTAAATTAACAAAAACTGTGGGTAGCTGTCCCTGTCATTCAACTCTTTCCCTTGCAGCTGGCTGAGCTTTTTGAGGGCAGAGGGGCTGAATGAGCAGACTCTGCTGTTCCCTTGCTGCTGTGCCTCTTTGCTGCTCCTCCAGCTGCCCTGGTACAAACCCCTTGTCTGCACTCTAGAAGCTGCTGTGTTCTAGGCTCTGCAGGAAGTTGTCATGCATTTGAACTCATGCAGGGAGGAGGCAAGGTTGGCAATGTGGACAATGGTTTCCATCTAGGTTAAGCTGCTTCAGCTGCCTCTAGTTCTAGAAGGAGGGTGGAAGAGGCAGTATGGAGGTCTATCTGCTACTAGTTAGGGAACAAGCTTTCTTGGGCATGACTCTATGCCCATCCTAGTCAAGGAATACCTCAATTTGGCTCCATTGTGGCTTCCTATCTCTTGTTGAATCTAGGCATGTTGAGGATATCTTCTGCAAAGGGGACTGTCCCAGTAGGCCCATGTATCTTAAATCATGGGATCCATCCATGCTGGAGACTTTCTTGCAGTGTCTTCTCTAGACCTGACCTCTAGCAGCTGGATGTTGTAGGCCAATGCAAAGCAATGAACAATGGACCCTTTGGGTCATCTGAAACCTGAAGTCCCCAGACCCAGGCCCAGGACCCCAACATGTAGGCAAAGAGGCTGCATTGTACCTTAGAGGCATGTGCATGTAGGCCTCGGGTGTCTACCTTGTTCTTGCTCAGATCTAGCCACTCCAGGTTGGACAGTCCTGGGAACATACAAATTGAAATCTTGGCACTTTCATTCTCTCTAAACACATAGGACAACTATTTCCCACACTCCATTCCCTGTCCTCTTATTTCTTTAAAGTAGCTAGTTCTTCTGATTGTCCAGAAGAGGCAATAACCATCTGGGTCAGTGTTCACAAGGCTGGCAGGGAGGCATGGCCTGCTCTGTGGTGCCCAGGTCTGTTATCTCAGGCCCAGGCCCTTGTCTGCTTCCTGGCCTCTTCTGTACATAGCCTGTAGCATCTAAGGTGCTCCTGCCAGTGTCTCAGCCTCTGCTCTGGCCCTTCTATTGGTGCCAAGCTTCTGGCCCAGATTGGCAGAAGGTCCCTATAAGAGGGGAAAGGCAGCCTTGGCTTAGTCACAAACAACAAGAGCCCAACCTGAGGGACAAAGGCTTTTCCAGTGACTGAGTCTAGTAGGGGCCATATCTTTGGAGGGTTCCTCTCTTACCATTTATGCTTTACTTGACAAAGCCATGGTCAGCTTGGACACTCACAAGTAGTCTTACCACACCCAGAAGACACCATATGGGGTTTATGAGCCCTGACTAGTCCTTACTGTTGGAGGGTCCCCTTGGGCTTCAGATTCCTAGTTTTCTGACCTCCTGCCTTTTTTCTCATTACTCCACTATGACTACAACCCCTTCTTGGGCTCCTGGAACCCTTATAGCCTATAAAGGTTTCTGCTTCTCCACAGCTCTTCTGTCCTGATCACTAGGACAAGCTATTACCCAGGGTTGAGTCTGCTGTGTGTCCATTCCATTGCTCACTGTGTTTGCTCAGGGACTATTGGAGGTGACTTCTTCCTCAGGGCTGAGGCTGTCCTGGAAGGTGACTACCAGATAGGGGCTTGGTGAACTTGCTCCTTAGAGTAGACCAAGTCCAGTTCTGTCACCAGTCTGCTCATCTTCAGGCCTGTTTGGGTTGCCCAGCTCTGCAAAATGTGCCAATGTAGGCCAGAGTGGCTTGTAAGTCTAGTCCTCATCCACTGTAGGATATTGATGGCAGAGTGGTCATAACCCCTTTCTCTTCAGACCTTCCACTGCCATTCTTCCTTCTCCAGAGGAGAGCCAGGGAGCAAGTAAGGCACTGTCCTATTCCATTGGCTGTGTAGCCTGCCTCTTAGAGCAGAAGCAGTGATTCTTCTAGAGGCTTTCCAAGACCATTGGAATAAGATGCAGGCTGCTTCCCAGGTCTTGAAGCAAGTTTTGCTTGTCCTTGGTTGATGAGGTCAGCCTACTCAGATCTTGGGCCAAAGCTCTCCTCGAGTCCCTATTCTCCAATACCTCCCAAGGACAGAGGATGAGGGCATTCCCTCGGCATCCCCTTCTGCTCCCACCCAGTGCCAAGTAGGAGTCTAATGTTTTTGAGGAGATGATGTTACTGTCACCTGGCACATTTCACTTTTGGGGATTTCCAGTGGCTCAGAGGACTATCATTATTCTATGTTCAGGGAACAGGATAAGGGCCTAGATCCATACAACTTGTTCCTCCTGCCTTCATAGGCATAGAACAGGGCCACCAATCATAACACTAAGCATGCCACACCTATAGTTCTTGTCTTGGAACCTTTGAGATCTGCCTGCCAACCAACTCCCACATTTTCAGCCTTCCAAGATTCTCCTGTCCCAGAAGGCTTTGAGTTAGCTAGATTAACTCCCTACCAGCAAACCCTGACCCATTCTGGATGCCTCAGGTGGGCAGCTTCCAGTAACTGCCTTTCTGCCCATCTACTCTAACCCAAGATCACTCCAGTGGTAGAGCAAGGTGCTTTTCTTCCTGCTAGTGACAGCTACTCACTGTTGAAGGACCTGGACCACCTGGCTGGTGGCTGCAGGATGGGCAAAGCTGCTGGGGCTAGTGGGGCCAAAACAGGTTCTCTCATTCAGCCTCTGCCTGTCCAAGGCCCCTGCACAGCAGCACCTAACCCAAAGAGTCAGGATGGAAGCATAATACCTTTTATAGTCCCCATGGGCAGGTCCTATTGGTCAGCAGAGAGCATGAAGATCTGGGAGAGGTGGAATGGTGGCCACAACTGGATGGAACACGTGGACCACAGTGATGGTAGGACAACTGGAGACAATCCTGCCTGAGCTACTAGCTCTGACTTTGTTTCTGAAAGCCACTTCTGTTCATTCTGTCTTTCCTTCCCTTCTCAAGATCACTTTTCTACAAAACCAATGGGTCTTTGGTGCCCATCTCACATTAGTGTCCATTGCTTCCACCTGAAGAGAAAGACAGGTAATCTTTCCTGGATCCAAGAGCGTGTTTTTTTTTTTTTTTTTTTTCTGTAAGGCCCATATTGATTCTCCATTGGCCCAGGCTCAGTACCTCCGTGAATAGGGCATCTGTTTCCATGCACTGTGGGCCTATGAAGCCCATTACAGGGCAGTATACCCACGACAGGCTGCCAGGTCCCATCTTCATGGCAGGAAAAGGAGAGGGGAGGGAGCCTTCTGGGTCCCCAGGAGATAGGGGAGGTGCCAGGACTGTCTGGGGTAGTGAAGACTCTGGTGTCCACAAAACCTGTTCATCCCCTGGATTTCTGCCTTACATAGTATGGAAGCCTCCTATCCCACAGACAGCAGAGACTTTGGGATGCCTGGATACTGTCCTTCCTGTGGATAGGGCTGGTTTCAATGCTTCTGCCATTTCCCTTTCTTCTAGGCTTCTACTTTATCCTCTGTGAAATGGGAATAACATGTATCCTGTATTCCTCGTCAGAATGTGTACAGTAGGGTGTATCCATCTCTCAAGACTCACAGACTTTTTGATCAAGAGTTCCAGGCCACATATGCCCCTGTACTTCTCAAACACCAGGTAAATCTTAGGGGCCCCTGTGGGTTAGGATAATGCCAGGTAGAAAGGATAAATGAAGGTGCTCATGGGTAGAGGCAAAGGAGTGGAGACTACAGCAAAAGGCAAAGAGTTGTCTACATGGGCCCCTTAAACAGCTTTCAAGGAGTGTCAGCAATCTCTGCTCCAACACTTGGCCCAGACATTAGCCACTGGGCATCCTCACAGCCCCAGCTCTAAACCTAGTTCTGGGGGATGAGGGGGCAGGCGGCTTGGGCTGGCAAGCAGCACAGCTTGCCACAGGGCTCCGCAGTTTGGGGCCAGCATTGAGGAAGCTTTTCCTACAGTTCTGTCCAGTGTTGACTTATATTTGGAAGTGATGTAAAAAAAATGAGTTAATTGTGGACAAGGCTTGGATGGGGTAGGGGAGAAAGAAAAGTAGTTTTGAGGGAGGGCAAAAATGGGCTACAGCCTCAGCTCTATCTACAAGTTTGAGTCTCTGTCTTGGGCCATAGGGCAGTGTGTAAGGCCCTAGGAGAGGGTCAAGGACAGGAGTTGAGGTTTGAAGGAGTCTCTGGCAAGTAGATTTTCACTGGATTCAACATTTCTCTGCTTGAGAACCTGGAAATCACTGTCCTGGAGGAGGAGTCTCCACTCTGAACCACACAAAGTCAAGTCACAGCCCTTTCCCCTACTCCTTCCCCTAATCCTGCCCTGCAGGGTTTTAGTTTATGCCTTGAACATTGGGACAACACCACACAAATCAGACACCGGGCCAGGGATGAGGCCAACATCTGACAGAGAATAGCAGGGACTCAGTTTTCTGTCTGGGAGGCCATCGCTAAGGCTGGGAGAAGAATCTCCTCAGGCCTGAGAGGCCTGAAGCATGTAGTCTGCCTTTATTCTGGAAGGCCAGAGAGAGGAAACACCCCTCCACCACCACCATTTTATAGAGAAAGGGTGGGAGACTCACTCAAGTCTCCTGATCTAGGAATCCCAGAGGTTGGGTTAGAATCCAGGTCCCCGGAGATGCCCTTGGCTCTATCCCTCCCCCTGACTGAGATGGATTCTGGAATCCTGGCCCCCTACCCATTTCCCCTGTTCTTGAAGTTCCCCAGGCTCTGACTAAACATCCTGCCATCTGGTTCCCATTAGTTGGGCTGGGGGTAGGGAGAAGCCTACTCCCAGGTTTCTCTGGCACAGCCAGTCTGGGAAAGGGAGAGGCATTCTCTCTTCCCCACCTAGGGAGGAAGCCCAAACAAGTTCTGAGGTGCTCTCAGTTCCCCAGCTCCTATGGATCCCTAGGCTGGATGCTGTTCTCTTGGTTTGGAAGTGCAGTGACCAACCCAGGTGGATACTTGGGGAATGATACCTCTGCAAGCTACTCTGTCCATCCAGAGTGCCCAAACATCTCTGGAACCTTGGGGGTCCTTGAGGGTCCCCATAGAGCAGAACCAGATTGTGGAAAGGAGCTCAGCTGCATCAACAGTTCCCATAAGTTTTGGGTTTTGTACTCCCCTCTTGTCAAGAGTTCATTTAGACACTCAGACTGAGCCAGCCAGGGCCCCAGGCCAGCACAGATTGTCTGGAGAGGAGTGTGGGAGGGACACTGGGATTTTCCAGGAACTAGTATGGAGCCTGGGACTTGCTGTAAAGGGCTTCAGACTTAATGCTCTGCAGTGACCTGACTGGTCCTGTGATTTCAGGAGCAAACCTCCATGCTCAGTGCCTCAGTCTTTCTATTTCAATATGGCAAACAAGTACTCTTAGAAAGCTATAGATATGGATTGCAGACAGGGAGAAGAATCTGCTCTATATAATCACCATAGCTTCTAGCTGCACAATTCCAGAATTCCAAGGGTCTCCTACCAACTTTATTTTTCCTTCCCACATGGCCCTCTCCCTATATGCAGAGATTTTTGTCCCTCAAGTCTTCTCAAAGCTGTACAACCTTAGGACTCTTCTCCCATCACGTCAGGGTTGGAGAACAGATTTTTTTTTTCTCACCACATACCCCTGAGCCACTACAAGTGCAGGCACAGAGGTCCCGTCAAAAACAAAGAATTTGAATATTGTAGCTAGAGGAAGCAGCAGTTTTTTAACAGATGATCTGACAAAGGCCTTGAAAAATTGACTTGGGCAGAGATATTAATGAAAATGAGATATCCATGTAAAAAGCACTCTAGTAAAGAGACTTTCAAAAATGGGGCTGGCCAGTGCAAAGGCCCCGAGTTGGGGTAGTTTGACTTAAATTCAGAAACAGGAGGGATAGTGAAGTAATTTGAGGGAGGGACTGAAACTGGGAAAGGACAGTAGAGTCTGTTTGAGGAAGGTGTTAAAGGTGATCAAGAAAAATTACCTTTGTCCTCAAAGAAAACAGTGAAACATAGATTCACTAGGGTCACAAAGACAGAATTGGGAACAGATGTAAAGGTGACTGAGCTGTCTAGGGGAGAAGTTGATCTTAGCTTGCCCTGGGTGAAATGAATATCAATTTCATACCTTTGTAAGTTCAGGAGCTAGACTGTAAGGGGGTTTAGCAAACATTCAAGCTGATATCAGGAAAGTATCTAGAGCTCAGGAGAGATATATTGATAGTGTTGCTACTCTGTCACTCTATATGGAGAATTCTGGCTTTTGTCCAGTGAATGGAGTCTCTCCCGTGTACCCTTGTTCCTTCCAGGGTGTGGGACAGAACAATTGTTTGGTGTGTGTGCGTGTGTGTGCATGCATACTCACACACATCTGTGTGTGCACATGAACGAATGTGCACAAGTACACAAGGATACTGAGTCTGCACATGTGGGCAGGCCTCAAGGCACACGCAGGCAGCTATTGTAAGCCAGTAAAGATACAGGGGCCTTTCCCACTTAAAGCTTTCAGAAGAGAAAAGTAAAACTTTCCATGCTCTCCTCCTGCTGCCAGCGACCCTTCCCTAGAGGAAACTCAGCTTATTTTAATGCCATTGAAACCTCAGAGGATCTGCTCCCAATTAGAGAAGTGTACTCTTGCAGAGGCTTTTTGTGAGCACTGTATACAGAAGACCATTCACATTCACACTTACACCATCCTGTAGGCTGCCTTGCCAGAGATGAGAGTGGGAGATGGGGAAGGAGGGAACACAACTGTTGTGGGGAAGATAGCTGGAGAGAGAATGGAGGATGCAAGGCATTGACAGGCAGGGTCTAAGGCCTTCTTTGGCTGGAGTGTGGGTGTTCTTGGAGAAGGTGCCAGTGGAAGGAGGGCTAGAGAGGGCACCATGCAGCAAGGAGGACTTTGGGACCACTTTTCTATCCTCCTTCCCAGTCTGAAATTCCAGTTGACTCTTGCCAAAAATGTGGGCTCCATTTGACTCTCCATGAAAGCTGTCTGACTCCTCTAGGTGAGCCTCAAGCATGGGACAGGGGCTGGATAGAAACTGGGGCTTGGCTTAGGGAAAACAGGGATTTATGATAAGAATGCAAAGTCGAGCACCCCCTCCCTGGCGGCCCTCTGAGTGGGCACGTTTGTGTTCCACTCCTGGCGCCAGAGATTCTAGCTCCAGACAAATGTGACTCAGCTCTGCTGACCTTGCCAAGAAGTCTAGACCCAAGAGTCTCTCCCTATGAAGGGGGTGATTCTGCCACTGTTTCCTCAGCGGCCTTGGCTGAGCCCTGAGCATATGCAGCTGTACACTTCATCCCCTATTTTGTCCATTTACAGGCACAGGAAGGGTGAGGGGTATTTGGAGGTGTGTACTTGAGCACAATGGTCCACAGGATGTCCAGACTCTGCCCTAAATTGTTAGTCTGGGGAAGGAGAAAACACAGGCTACTCCTACTACCAGCTCATGGGCACCTGGGCAAATGCAGGGCCCACCCTAGAGACTAGGCTGGGATCTCATTGGAGTCCCAAATTGGGCTATCCTCAACCTGTCCTCATTGCTGGGGATTCATTTCCTTCCCTGAAAAAAAAGTACATGGACTCTACTTGCTCTCTTGCACGCGGTCACTCTCACTCCTGCCCTCGCTCTGTTGCTTGCTCTCTCTCTCTCACCCTGAGACAGGATCTCCCTGTGTAGCCCAGGTTTCTCTGTCCTGGAACACACTCTATAAATCAGGCTGACCTGAAACTCACAGAGATCTGCTTGCCTCTACCTCCCAAGTTCTGAAATTAAAGGTACATGTCATCCAGCTTGCTGTTTGTTTGAGTCTGAATTTGGTGTCCAGGTCCTTCTTGGAGACCTTCAGAGGTAGAATATCTGGGAGTAGAGGTCGCCTTGATCCCTTAAAGGCTCCTGTAACTACTCCGGGCCCTGAACCAGCCTAACAAGTCAACACCTTTGTAGAGAAGCTCTGCCTTGGGAGGGCCTATCTCTACTATTCCCTTCAGTCTCTTTTATTAGTAGTGTTCCACTGAGAATCCCAGCTAAGGTCCCTATAGAAGACTGGGTCTAATACTAGAAGCAACATGAGTACTTCATGACATTTTATTATCCTGATATCTTCCAGGGGCAGCCCAGTGCTCTGAGGGAAGGATGCCTCCTATTCCAGGAGCCTAAGTGCACAAGTAGAAGGGTCTCTCTCCTCATATGTCTCCACAGCCTGCCAGCTCATCCCTGGCACTGTGGGGTTAGTGCCTGTCAACTGTTCTCCTTTTCCAACCTATGTGCCAAGCACTAACATGTGGCTTATGCCATGCTGCAATACATTGTCAAGTTTTTTTCTCAAGATAATGGGCTGGCTCTTACTTCCTATATATCCTACTTCTGTCCAAGGCCCTCCACCCTGCAGGCCTCAGGATCTTTTAGCCCCATCACAATGTGCTCTTGATGCTTCACCTCCATCCTATCTCCCTTGTAGAACTCACATCCTCTGGGCAGGATTGTTTGTAGGAGTCTTCCTACTCCTCCCTATTCCATTGTAGGAACCCTCTTCCATGTCTCTACACACTTCTCTGGCAAACACACCTTCCAAGACATGTAGCATCCTTTCTCTCCAGCCAGCTAATGTTTAGACAGGGTTTCTTGGAGATATACTTCCTTATGTTGAACTTGAGTCTGTGTTGAAGATTCTGTGACTGAGCCTCTTTTTTTTCTGTTACTGAGCAGTCCTATGACTCTCTACATTTCCACCCCAGTCTCCAGTGGAGGTGCCATGATTGAATAGGAAGGTAGGCTGCCTCCTACTGCTGTGGCCTTGGTGCAGGAGGCTAGCCGCCATGGTTTCTGTGGATGGACTTTGCTTCTCCAGGCCCCACCTGGAGCTGTAGACAAAGTTGCTGAGTTGGGGAAAGACCTGCTCAGTGCTTTGGCTCCCTGGGACTGGGTGGAGAAGGAGGACTTTCTTCCAGAATACACAGGGGTTGGTTTCTTTTCCATTCCTCAGGAGCAGAGGCTACGGGAAGGGTGGAGGGAGGCAGCCACACTGCAGTGGTTTCTCCCGCCAAATTCCCCAGTCCTAGGAAAGATCCACAGGAAAAACCCACAAGAATTTGAATGTCTGGGCTAGGGTCATGATTGAAATGAAATTTTCTTCTTCTTCTTTTTTTTTTTTGAAGGAAGAAAAAATAAAAACAGAAAATGGCAGGAAAAAGTAAACATTGACCAAACAAAAAGTAAAATGAAAAACAAAGCCCCTTCTCACTTTGTATTCCAGAAAGGGTCCGAGGCTACAGCAACCTTGTAGAGGGTAGAAAGGGGCCACTAAGTACTTTGCAAAGAACTGAGCCCCTGAGCCAAGTTACTGGGCCTTCCTCTCCTCAGATTTTTTTTTTTTTAGCTAAAATTGGGAGGCTTCTTGTCTAAAGAGCTTGATATTCCAAGTTCTTACTAAGGAATTAGGCCCTGGCCCCTCAGCAGGGCCAGTCTAGGGGCCCTTTTCTGCTAGCTCCAAGCTCTTGCCTGCTCCCTCCTTCCAGGACTCCACTGAGAGACCTCTCCAGTTAGAAGACTTCAGTTGCCTGCTTCCAACAACTCTCCCTACCGGTGTGTGTGTGTGTGTGTGTGTGTGTGTGTGTGTGTGTATACGTACCAAGCACATGTATGCACACATACACATATACAGGAGAAGTATGTGCGAGTATACAGGCCAAAGGTCATTGTTGGGTATCTTTTTCAGTTGTTCTCTGCATTCTTTTTAAATGTTTATTTTTATGTGCATGTGTCTTTACTTGCATTTATGTCTATGCACCATACGCATGCAGTGTTCAAGGAGTTTAGAAGAGGGCTTTGGGTCTTCTAGAACAGGAGTTATAGCTAGTTGTGAGCTGCCACATGGGTGCTGGGAATTAAACCTGGCTCCTCTGCTAGAGTAGCAAGTGTTTTTAATGTCTGAGACATCTCTCCAGCCCTCTACCTTACTTTTTGAAACAAGGCCTCCCACTGAAGCTTCGAAGATTCTCAGTTGGGTAGAATTATCTCAGCACTGGGCTTACAGGTATGTGGTATGCTCCTAAATCTAACTTTAAGACAAACAAACACTTTTTCTTCTCTCTCTCTCTCTCTCTCTTTCTCTCTCTCTCTCTCTCTCTCTCTCTCTCTCTCTCGGTCTCAAGTGGCTCAAGTTGTTCTGGAATTCACTATGTAGTTGTAGTTGAGGTTGGCCTCAAATTTGTGATCCCAGCACTTGCCCAGCATACAAGTGCTGGGATTGCAGGCATGTGCTTCACAACTGGCTTTTTTTCCCCTTACCTCTTGATCTCCATGTTCTCTCTTTGTGGAGATGGCACTGCAATGCACAGAGTGTGTACAGATTGAGTGCAATAGATTACTACTGGCTCTTGGCTCCTGAACAACTATCACCCTTTAATTCCTTCTTACCTTATCCAATCAGCTGATCTTAGGGTTGGAATGATAGCATACTGGGATTTTGGAATTCTAGGAAGGAAGGAGGCTAATGTTTTTTCAAATGTGGTGAGTTTGAGAAGCCTGAGATACAGAGGGATTTTTGAGTGGGCTGGGCAGGAATGTGGCACAAGAGCATCCATGAAAGCCAAAGGTAGGATGGAGATGTGGGGTCCAGCCAGCATAATGATAACAAGGAACATTTACCTGTCAGACTTCACCTTAGGAATTTCATAGAAATGACTGCCTCTTTTCATCCTCATTTGTAAACCAATGAAGTAGGTGCTCTCATACAACATTTATCTGAGTGCAAGGAAAGCAGAGAGGTTAGGTAACTGGTCCAAAGTTTTCTGGGCGTGGTGATACTTACCTGTCAACACAGTCCATTGAACGGTGAGGTAGGAGGATCACAAGTTTGAAGCCAGTCTAGGCTACAAAGCCAAATCCTGGTTCAAAATTCCCCAAACAAAACAGACCACACAAACCAAAACAAAAGTTATACATCCTGTGATTGGCAGAGCCAGATTTGAATTTAAGAACTTTTCTTCTGACTTCGTGTGCAAAGGAGACGAGACAGAACTGTGGGCTGAGAAATGGTCTTTAGTTTTTCTACAAAAGCTTGCCTTCATCAGTCAGGATCCATCAGCTACTGACAAAGAGAACCCGAACAAGGTAGGAGCGCCCCCTCCTGGGTGGAGCCTTACGTCTGTGAGTCCCTCACTTCTGCCTCTAAAAGGAGCTACTAGGGTTTTGGTCAAGTCCTACTCGCCCCGCCTCCTCCCCTCCATCCCTCATCTCCAGCCCCGCCTTTAGCCCGCCTCTGTACTATTCTCGCCCAACCCTCTTCTCTGCACTCTGCTCCCTGAGGCGCGCGCAGGCAGTGACAAAACGGCAGCCCAATGGGAAGGCTCTTTGGGAAAGAGGGTGGGCCTTTGTGACGCCAGTCCTGACGGTTGACTCCGCCCCTTCCGCTCGGTGAAACTGGTGAGCTTTTAGCAGTGCGACTTCGGCCTGTAAGCTTGGGGGCGTGAGCCAGTTGCGGTTCAGAGCGCGAAACATGGCGGAGAAGGGTGCTGGTGGTGGATCTGATGACAGTTACTACGAAGATGTGGGCGATGACTGCGTGGTCAAGGCAGCTGTGGAGGTGTTCGAGAAGCTGAAGGTATTGTGAGCCAGGGGAACCGCTCCATGATAGGGGACCAGGCGAGGCCCTGTCCCAGCGCCTTTTGGAGCTTCCTGTGGACATTGACCACACCACAGGAGTCCACAGTGGCAGGCCCTGGCAAAGCCTTGGGGGCGACTTGTGGACCATCTGTCTTAGGTCTTTGGGGTTCTTGGACCTCTGCTCATGCTGTTCCAACAGAATTTTGCAGGATTGAGGCTGGGAACTTGGAGCACGTGCAAAAAACGGAGGACTCAGGCTCCAATCTCAAAGAGCTGGAAGTGGGTGGAGTGGGTTTGGGGGACGGATGGGCTGAACACCTTGCCGTTTTGTTGGGTCAGAGACAGGGACTTCAGGTGGGTTTAAAGTACATGCAGCACTGAGGAACATGACCCTATAAAGTTAGGGAGCTATTCCAGGCCCATTGGCCCCCTTGCTAACCTCCCTCTAGTCTTCGCTTGCTATTGACTCAGTGATCACTTTCCCTCCACTGTTCCTTAGATTTAATCTTCATAATCCACTCTTAGGCACGTTCCTAGTTTTGTGGCCGTGGAACCCAGAGGGAACACACTTAACAGTGGTCGGGCAGCAAGTCACAGGAGCAAATGTAGGGTGAACATGAAGGACTTGAACTTTTGACAAGACCAGAAAGGGGCACAAACTAATAGAAGTGCTTTGCCACCCTACAGTAACAGGCTTCCTTCTGACTTGCCTTTTCCTTGTTTAGGGTGTAAACTGCCCTTTCCTCGACGGTCTGTATATTACAGAACCAAAGACAATTATGGAACTGCTGTGTAGGCCCTCAAAGTACCGGTTGGACATACTGGAGTGGATATGTATACGGTAATGTTCTCTGTTCTTTCCTTTCCATGGAGTGTCTCCTGGGGGAGATGGGAATGTGTCCTTTTAGAGGGTCCTTTAACCAAGCCAGCTCCATCCAGGAAAGCAGCTGATTAGTTAACTGAGCCATGACCAAGATGGTGGGGAGGTGGCCCTGGCAGTACAAGATGGACTTTAATGAAAGCCCTTTTTGCACTAGGACACCTGGGCTTTTGATTGTGTTGAGGCATTTGATGTGGTTCATGCCACTGAGCTGTGATTACTGTCAGCTTGGTGGGCACCTGATGATTAGAGAGGGACATTGCCCAGAAACCCAATGACAGAAACGAGCCTTCTAGATTGTTTCCCTTCTTCTCCACTCCAACTTGCAAAGAACAAAGGTTTTTCTTAGTTCATCATAAGGGCAGTGCTTCTAGGACAGCCTGGGCTGGATAGGCCTTTTCAATGGAATGGAAGGTGTTGGACTTTTTTCCTTGCTGTTGTCTGTAGAACAAGTCCAGCTAGGAGCTCTCAAGGCCAGATGCTTACTGGAGAGCCTCATTGTTAAGCTTATCTGTGTGCTTCCCCTGAAGGCCAGGGCTGCACAGCCAAGTCATCAGAGCCTCTTTCATGATAGGGGCCTTCTAGTATCTTAAAGCAGAGCTCAGCAAGGTATTTTATATGAAGGGACAGGCACTATTCCAGCTCAGTCTTGCCAAGGTAAGGTAGCACAAAACAACAGCATAGGCAGTATGTACAGGAATGGATGGGTGGTGTAGCAATAAACCTTCTTTAAAAAATAAAACTGGGAGCTTATGCATGGGTTTATCTCTCTGTAAAGGTAACTTTTATTCACCTGATTTAATTTTCCTCTTCAAGGCTTATTGCTTTTGTCTGCTAACCTAGTCCTAGTCCTGGAAGCTTCTAGCCTCCGTACAATCTTATGTAGGCCTAGGATGTTTTCAGCCTCTGAGACTTACTGCTGAATAAGCTCATCCTTTCTTGTTCTTACTGAGCTGTAGCTGGTTGGATCAACTCAGCTGCTCCGGCTCAAACTCCTCTCCCAGCTGACTGGGCCAATCTGACTTCTCTCTCGAAGCCTCTCCTGAATTGCTCTGCTTGGCCTCATACTAACTTTGACAATATGTTTTAATCTTCTGACTCCTTATTCATTCTCTGGCTCATTCTGTCTTCACCTCTGTCTAGCTTGTTCTCTCTCTGCAACCTGTCTCTGTACGACTGTCCAGAAAAATCGCCTCCTCCTGTCTCTGCACATGCTGCCCTTTCTGAAGTAGCGTCCCTTTTCCATCCTTGTGAGAGTTGGGCATATCCTATTCTGTTAAATCTTTCTGATTTATCACTTTGCCACTCAATTACACAACACTTTCAAACATGGGTGCTTCCTTCTACAAACTAATTTTACCTTCATTGTTTGGAATTAAAGATGTGTGCTAAGGGCACAACTGTATTCCAGCCAGAGGGATTAAAGGTGTGTGCCAAGGCTGAGCTACACCACAACTAGAAACAGGATTTTTTCAATAACTAATACAATCTCAGGATTCAAAGTGTGACCAAATATCTTGCAACATCTTTCCTTTAAACTGTGTGTTAAATTGTTCTTTTTGAAAAGTGTATAATGAAGCAGGACTCCATTGCTCACACCTTTAATCCCAGCATGAAAGAGGCAGAGGCAGGTGGATATCTGTGAGTTTCAGGCTAGCTTGGTCTACATAGGGAGTTCCAGGACAGCCAGGGCTGCATAGTGAGACCCTATCTCCAAAAACAAAACCAAACAAATTAACAAAAAAGAAAAAAGTATAAAATGACCTTTTCTGAAAAGAGTGTTGCAATGATAGAGGCAACCATTGCTCCTTCATTATATACTCACTGACCTCTGTTTTTGTGTGTTGATCACTGCCTAGAAATGTGCTAGGCTTAGGAAGTACCCAAAGGAAAGTCAGTTTCTGGCCCCAGCCAGCTTTCATTCCAAGAGGATAGAGTCTTATAAAAGGTTAGGGCACCTTGCCCAAAGGGGCTGTAGAGTTCCTTGGAAATCCTTATAATCACGGCCGTCCAGGCTGAGAAGAAGTGAGTTGAAGGGATGAGTTAGATATGCCAGGGCTAAATGGGAAGCCAGTGCTCCAGCAGGTGCACACTCAGGCCAAATAGTTAGGTGTCAAACTCCTCTGCAAATGGCCACACTCTTCCTTTCTTGTGCACCTATCACTTTTGTGTGTGTGTGGGGGGGGCAGGAGGAGAACTTTGAGTATTTCTGTTTCTGAGGGAAAACTTTCTCAAGTATTTTCCCATAGTAATTGATGGTAAGAGTCACATGATATCAAATAAATTATTTTAAAGTTATTAAAATATTAAATGCCTTTTCACTGGCATTTAGCAATTGTACAAGTAATTCTGTTTAGGGAGTAGGTACGAAGGGGTGGTGAGAAATTAGGCACATGACTGACTTTGCTATTTTCCTACAGGGTCTGTCCCTCCTTGCAAGACAAGTTCAGCTCACTGAAAGGAAATGCAGTGGATTTGAAGATACAGGGTAGGTCTCTTATGGGAGTGTGGCATTTGCTGGGAAATTCTGGGCAATTCTGAGCTTGGTCACAGTGTCTCACTGAGTTGTGAAATTTCCATTAACTAATGTTTTACTTTGTATAGTGTATACTCTGTGGATATTATTAGAGCCTTCTAGAGTCAGGGCCTTCCGTGATATAGTGAATGGGAAGCTTTTTACAGGACCAATAGTACATTGTTCTACCACAACACTGAAAAGTAGAGAGCATTATTCTTTCTGGTGTCATTAGAGGTCTCTCAGTGTTCATATAATGTTTATATGGCATTCCTAGGAGCCTCCTGATTGCTCTTTAACGTGGTTTGCCTTGTCACCATGTTAGTTTGATGGTTTTGTTTTGGTAGAAACTATCCTTAACTTGGTGTGAATGTTGATGAACAAAAAAAAATGCTATCCTGTGTAAGTAGCTAGGTTTTCCTTCCTTATAGTATGGCCAAACATTGATAAAATTTAAAAATGCTAAGTTTTTCAAAAGCCTGTATATATTCTGTCCACTGCAGTGTGACTGAGCTGGACTTAGGCCCTGAACTGTGCACCAAACAGCATTGCCAAATTAATTATCTGAGGAGAGTTGTTTTCTTGGCTGTAGTAGTAGGTTGTTTGTCTCAGAACAACCAGGCCTGCATCCCATCATACCTGTGTTTCCTGCTGTCAAGGTTTCCCCGATAGGCTTGGAATTGAGATCTGAGTTCTCTGATACACATGGGAAAAGCCTGGCCTGTGGGCTGTCCTTGTTCATCCACAGTTTGGAGAATTCCCTGGACCCAGTCTCACTTCCCTCTTTGAAGATGAAGGCCTTTGCCTTGTTCACCTCCTCAGAGTGTGTTGGGTACTTATCTGAGTGGAAGTAGGAGACATAAGGACAGAGAACCATTAGTTTCATTGATGTGTGAGGCAGTGTTTGATGTGCTAGGGTACAGCAGTGAACTGTGCCACCCTCATGGAACTTATATGTTAGATGGTGGGAAACATAGATGATGAAGGAAGAAGACTGCAAGCTACCAGTTAAGGGAAAGGTGATACAGAGAGTTGGAATAAAGGTGATTTTATTGACAGAAGATGGCAAGAAGGGTAGAACTAAGCTTGGCTGAGAGTAATATCCATAGCAAGGGAACAGCCAATGCAAAGGGACTGAAGTGAGCTATGCTTGGCAGCTTTGAGGAAGGATACGGAACAAAGATGGCTGGGGTAGAGGGGATGATGAGGTATGGGAAATCAGGAAGGGACAAGGATAGGTCCTGCCAGGCCTTATAGGTCATGGAGGGCCATTGGCTTTTCTTCTAAAGAAGGCTTTGCCCTCTATTGGGTTCATCAGGCTCCCTGGGGATACTGTAGTGAAAATGTGAACACCCAGGCAGCAATACAGCTCTTACAGTAACTGAGGCAAGATATTGGGGGAATGAATAGGTAAAAAGGTGTGCTCTACTGGATTTGTTGAGAGGAGATCAGAAGGATCAGAAGGGTTTAAGGGCTGTGGTTGAAGCAGCCTGGCTTGGAGGCATATTGGCATCTGAAGATTATTCCCAGGGCCACAGAGTTGTTACATAGATGCTCTGACACTACTTCCAGTGGATCTTTTCCAGCATGTCCTATACAGGTTTGTACCTGCTCTGCTCTTGCTGAGGCATAGCCCGGCCTGAGAGGGGGTGAAGGTACTGCTGTAACACTGGTGCTGGTCCGAAGCTCTCTGACCTTTGTTTATATACTAGATGGCCATGTAAAGGTGTGATGGATACCCCTGAAGATGTGGCTAGGTATTCTGTGTTCCTTAAGGGGCCTCAGACTCCTTATCTATAAAATATAGCCTAGTCTCATTCACCTTCAAGATGGCATGGCAGGAGAATGGGCCACGAGAGACATTTGGTCCATCTGGTCTTTTGTGCTCCCTATCCCTGCCATGGGGAAAAAAGTCTCAGTATCCTATATGCTCTAAGTGCTGGGATGTCTTGTATCCTTCTCTGTTTGGGTGGGTCTACAGTGACAAGGTCTTTGTATTCTAACAGAGATGGTGAAGCTAGGCCATGAGCTGATGTTGTGTGCACCAGATGACCAGGATCTTCTAATGGTAAGAAAGAACCCTCTTCTGTCCCTGCAGAAGATGCACATGTTTTTTTGTCCTGGGCTTGTGAAAGGATGGGAGAGGCTTCCGGCTCTAGAGCCTATGTGGCTGGTAAGAATGTTTTTCTAGGAATCCCTAGGTTAAGCATTGCAAGAAATCTTTCAGGGAGACAATTGAGAGAGCCAATGAATGAACCATTTTTGATGGGGTTGTATTCCATTGTGCTGTTTAGTCTTTCTCCAGTTAGGGTTTGCTTTTAAGTAGAGCTGGTTCACAGAGATTGTAAGCAGCAAGAACAAAGAATTCTCATCTCCTTCCTGCCACTGGCCCCATGTGGGCCTCCCTCACTGTGGTAATATTTGTTACCTCAGTAAGCCAACACAGATAAGGATAACTTTGTCTCCCAAGTATGTATCCAATGGGCTATCCTTCTCTTGTTTTCTGGTTGGAAGTTGTTACATGGTTCTTTGCTGATACTTTATCCTTTCTGTTTCTTGTTCACGATTGTTCATTCAAGCATTTTTCTAATGACTATTTAAAACTGTCAGTTCATCTGCCTTTCTAAAATCCCCATATTGGCATCTAATGAACATCTTTTCTTGTGAAAGTTGAGATCTTTGTGGTTTTTCATGTGTTGGATGATTGTGGCTTTGTCCTGCTCATGTTCGCTGTTACTTGGATCTGTTAAATTTCATGGAGAGAAAAGATTCAGATGTTCCAGCAGGCTCTAGGCTTGCTTTAGTTTATGCAGCCAGGTCCACCCCTCCTCTCTGGCCTGAACTTCCACTGTCAGCTTACCTTCTTTCCATCCATCCTACATGCGCCACCCAGTGGTCACCCTAAGGCTTTAGCCTGGCTTCACCCCTAGCTTAGTGTCAGTCATCTGTGCATAGTCAGGTCTGGTTCAGATTTTTCCAAAACTGATTTTTGGAGTCATTTGCTTCATCTCTTTCCTCTCTGCCATTCTCTAAGCTTTTCATTTCCTCAGAGCTTTCCTTTTCTCTCCTCCAGCTACAACCCACTGGCATGACTGATTTACTAGCAATAGGGCAGAAAGGAAAAACTAGCAAGAAGTTCCTGGAAAGATACTTTTTATCACTGATCACAAGACCAGTGAAAATTAGAACTGCAATGGCATGTTCCACTCATACCATGATATCTAGAGTTAGAAGGAAAATAGCACAGGCTGACAAGGTTGGGGAGACATAGGAACCCTCATACATTCTAGTAGGAATGCAAATGGTGCAGCTACTGTGGAAGACAGCACACATGTACCGGAGTTTACTGTGAATGTTCATAGATGCTCATCAATTGGTTAGGTAATTTTTAAGAAAGAAGACATTGCTGCTACATGTGATAACATAGATGATGTTTGAGGATGTTACGCTAAGTGAAAAGCAGATACTAAAATGTAGTGTAATGTCATAATAAATGGTCACATATTGCAAGATTTCTTGTTTGTGGACTGTTCATAAAGAAAGATAGGAACATAGTGATTGTTAGGGGCTCAGGCAGAGGTCAATAAGAAAGGACTATCAGTGGGTTTAGAGTTTATTTTGGGTGTGGTAGAGATGTTTATAAAATGTGGCCATGAGACTGGAAAGATGATTCAGTGGTTAAGAGAACTTGCTGCTCTTCCAGAGGAGTGAGTCAGATTCCTAGCACCTATATGGTATCTCACAACCAGTTGTAACTCCAGTTCCAAGGGATATAATGGTTTCTTTTGACCTCCTTGGGTACTTCACTCATGTGGTACACAGATATCCATGCAGGAAAACACTCAGACACATAACATAAATAAATTTTAAAAAACTGATTATGATAATGACCTCCTGGCTCTTTGACTATTCTAACAACCACCGCACTATACATTTAAAAATTTTAACATTTAATTTAACAGAATTTAACACAGTGAATTAAAATTTAACAAACAAAAACACTGTAACCAAATGGAAAAAGAACATCTAGGAGAACAGCAAGTACAAGAGACCTGCAGTAGTCTGTGCTTGATGTGTTCAGAAAACTGTCAGCATACTGGTTAGGGCAGAGCAGGATGAAAACAAGGAAATGGAATAGAACAGAGTGGGTAGATGTGATAGCCTCTATAGGCCTTTAGGCCATACAGGGTGGCTTTTGGACATACAGGGTGGTGAACTGGGGAGCTTGGAGCTGAGGGACATAGATTTCTATTTCTATTTTTATTTCTGACAGTGATGGCTATGGCTAATGTGTGGAGTGGATTGTCAGGGATCTGTTGGCAGGTTACAACAGTGGCCAGGCATGTAAGCGGATATCTTGAAGGACAGTGGTAGTGGGGAAGTTGGAGTAGTGGCTAGATTCAGCCAGATCCATTGGATTTACTGATGTAGTAAGGTATAGGCAGGGACAAGACTCAACAATTGCATTCTAGAAAGATCTGGAGAATGAGTTCACAAAGACTTATACCTCACCATATCTCTAGACCTTTCAAGAGTGATTATTAGTCTAGCCCTTTGCTGGAGAATAGAGAGGAGACAGATAGGGTATGGTATAGTAATGGGCTTCAGTAAGGTGGCCACAGACCAGCCTGCTGGAGGCTAGCTCATGTAGCACTCTGGGTTTTGTATGACCTGGATCGTGGTTATTGAGAAGGGTTGTAAGCGACTTTGTGGAGCCATTCTTGTGTTTTAGTCTGGACTGATTCCAGTTTAAACAGTGTATTGACCCTCTACCTAAGACTGCCCTGCAGATGTGTTTCATAGAAAAATGGTGAAATTGAGTCAACAAGAAAGAGTAAAAGGGCCCCAGAAGTCACTGTCAGGTTAAGGACATGAGTTGGGGGCTTTGGATTGGGTCTTGTTAACTCAGTCATGGAGGTAGTATTTGGGTCTCTTTGGAACTGTGAGTCTTGGAACTGTACTGCCCCCAAATCTACTCCTCACCAAGGGGCAACATGGCCCTTTTCCTTCAGTATCTGCATTCAGCACCAGCTTTCAGTGCTTGTTTTTCTTGAAGGGGTTTTTTGTAAAGTGCTGGGAGTGGTGATTGAGTGACTCTTTGATTTTTCTTCCTCAGAACAGTGTGTGCCAGGCCCAGGTGGTAAGGGATAGGCCTTGATTGGTGCCTTATTTGCACAGGATTATTTGATGCAGTTATGGCCTCTAAGATAGTATCTGCTCCTGGGGATCATCCACTTTCTAGAAGAAGGCAAGCCTTGGACTCTTCACTGGGCAAATCCCTGTATCACCTGGGCAGATGGGCAGGCAGGTGACCTGGTCAGTCCTGCATGAGTTGCTGCACAGAAGCCTGAGGCCTTTGTGGTAGAAAGTCTAGGCCCCTGCTGGAGAACAGGCCATCCCTAGGCCTTATGCTGTGCCTATTGGCCTCTGCCATTCTTGGCCAGGAGGGATTGACTGAAGATACCTGGAGGTATCCCTGAGGATTAGGCCACCATCAGTTCCCTGTGAGCTCTATTCTGCTTTAGTAGACCCTGATGCATGCCACCCATCCACCACTGAATAAGCCTTCCCTTCTGGCTATGTGATAAAATCACACTAATATGTTTTGACAACAGTTTGCATTTTGCATTTGCAGTGGTCTTCTAGGTATCCTTGCAGCCTGAAAGGTGGCAGAAATCTGATGATGCTATTGCTGAGTCAGTTCAAGAGGCTACCAGCAGGGGTCAGGGACAGGGAAGAGGAACTGTCTGGCCAGCTCCCTTGCCGCTAGCCACAGCAAGGGCAGCATAGGATCGGGCACCTGGAACAGCTGGTGAGGCCTTGCTGGGTCTAGTGGCAAATGTGTGTGGCTTTTCCTGCCAGGGCCGTGAGTGTCCCCAGAAGCAGCTACAGTTCATGGACAAGTTACTGGATATGATGCGGAGCCTGGCCACTGGATGCTTCAGTCGTTCTAGGTAAAGATGTCAGTGGCACAACAGATTCCCTGACAGCTGGTCTTAGTCTTAGCTATAGAGATGGAAGGGTGGTCAGGGAATGTGTCCCCCTCTGGTGACAGTAGCCATGTGCTGATCCAGGGATTACAGGACTGATAAATTGAGACAGCTCCCCCTAGTCACCATCTTGGTGTTTAGGCTAGCTGCTCAGAGGCCAGGCAGTGGCTCAGCAAAGGGTAGTTGTTTTTCTAGGATGCTGGATCATGGCCTGAGATCATGCACTATAGGCCTTGGGGGAACTAACCTAGGCGTATAGGAAGGGAATTAGCACCCAGATGTCTGTAGACAAGAGGGTATTAGAGAGGCCAAAGCAGGCAGAGACTGGGAGGGATGTAGGCAGTAGAATTTCCCATCCTTGGGACTGCTGGGCCAGTATTCCTGTTGGTAACAGTTTACTCAGGGCCTGTCCTGATTTTGCAGCCTGAAGGAACACCTTGAAGATACCACAGAGAAGAATGAGGCCTTGCTTGGGGAGCTCTTCTCTAGCCCTAACCTGTGGGCAATTTTGAAACCTGAAAGTGACCCATGGCCCCTGGACATGCAGTCCTCTCTCAACAAGCAATGTGATGACCTGCCAAAGTAGGTATCCGGGAGGGCTCTAGTCCTAGTACCACCCCATCTTGCTTCTGTTCAGTAAGATGGACCTCACAGTGGCCTACTGCCTATAGCAGTAGTAGGAGAGAGCAGACAGTGTCCCTCCTTTTTTCCCCTGCAGGGCTGGCCCCTCTGCCCAGTCAGAGGGAGAGAAGGTGGCAGATCTGGCCAGGCAGCTGGAGGAGAGTGCTACTAAGCTTCAGACACTCCGAGACCAGGTGAAGGGTACCAGCTCTGGGGGTTGTGGGACTTGAGGAATAGGCTCTGCTGAGTTCTAGGGAAAGTGGTGTCCCCCTCAGCTTGGTGTGCTGTAAGGCTTCAGTGAGATGCAACAGGAGTATGGAGGTAGGTGCTAAAGCTCTGAGCATGAAAGGAAAGAATATACTTCAGATGTCAGCCATGCACCAGGCCTGAACTGCATGCCTTCACATACCATCTCAAATTCAGCCTTACTAGCATCTGTTGGCCAGACTAGATATTTAGCTATGGAGTCTGAGGTCTGTGCAAACATTAGCCTCATGGCTGAGGCCCCATTCACACCCTCCCCGTCTCTTTCTTTTTGGAGACTCTTCTTCCTGTCAATTTGTGCCATGTTATATCAACTTGTGCTATGTTATGTGGGCTGGTGACAGCCTAGGATGGATGGGCAGAGTAGCCTCAAGTGATTATCACCCTTCATTTTGCAGTGCTTTGCACAGCATAAAGCAGGGACTGACACCAGCACCATAGACCAGAAACTCCGTCTGGTCATCTCTGACTTCTACCAGCTCATCTTGGCCTTCCTGCAAGTCTATGATGATGAGCTAGGTGAATGCTGCCAGCGCCCAGTACTCAGCCTGCACCCAAGTGGCCCCATCATCCAAGCTGTCTATCAGAGTCTGGTTTCCTGTGGCCAAGTAAGATACCTCCCCCTCCCAACTCTGTGCTGCCCAGTACCTCAAGAACGCATGCCTACCAGGCCTAGGCTCAGGAACTTAGCAAACCTTGATGTCAATTGTACAGGCTGGGGAAGAGCTTGAGAGGGCTTAGCCTGGGTTCCTCAACCAGTCACATGGTAGAACTCTGGGTGTGATGAGACTTTTGTCAGATGAAGATAAACATTTCTGGTACCTTGGGGAGGTGATGAAAGCTGATATGGACATTTTCTCCAAGAGATCCCCCCACCCCCAGGCAGTTTCTATTCTTATTTCTCTTACCCCTAGGGAAGCTTATATATTGCTTGCATTGGATTTTACTTGACTCAGTATGATATCCTGGTCCTAGCGTCCATGCTGGAGTTAGTTTACTGTTTTCATATGTCCAAACATACCAAGCTACTTGTGATCTTTTGTCTGACTAAGCACTAGGCCAGCTAGACAAACAAGATGGGTTTGTAGTTAAGCCACTGAGTGAAGGTAGTTCACTTGGCTCTTCTATATTTCAGGTTCTTAGAGGCCAGGCTTAGCAGCTGAACTAATTCTCATTACTGTAGTTACAATGTGTGTAACTCCGGCCGTTGTTCATAGTGCCATGATGTTGATTTTAGGTTATAACAAAACTCAAGCCTTCCCAGTTTCTCATGAGACTCTGCCAGTAGATGGAAGCTCTTATCACAAAGGCACTTTTTTGTAGGATATCTCTTTTCTCATCTGCTATTTGCTTTGCTCAGGTGGTACAATGTGCAGTACTAGCATGTCACAAAGAACTGAGGGCTGCCAAAGTAACACAATAGTGAAGAATCCCCACTGAATGAGGAAAAAGGAGACTTAGGTTTGAAGGACAACTCTCCAGATGAAAGTTCTGCCTCTTTCTTTTGGCTGGCTGTCTTTGGGGGCTTTGGTATAAGCTTGGGTGAAAAGCAACAGATGCCATCTCTATGTCAGACTAGCCTCACTAAGGCTTGTGTGCCCTCTCGGTCTTGACAGTTGTTGAGAGCAGTCATGGAGATTGCAGACACCTCTGCTAAAGCTATGGAAGCATTAAGGAGGCAGGAAGGAGAGCCGAACAGTTGGAGCAGCAGCAACTCTGGGATAAGCCTAGGTAAGTACCTGGGGCTGAGGGGCCACTATCCTTGCCTATTTAACCAAGGTCTACTCCATGGCAGGGTGTCCTAGTTAGGGTTTTACTGCTGTGAATAGACACCATGACCAAGGCAACTCTTATAAGGACAACATTTAATTGAGGCTGGCTTACAGGTTCAGAGGCTCAGTCCATTATCATCAAGCATCCAAGCAAGCATGATGCAGGAGGAGCTGAGAGCTCTACATCTTCATCTGAAGATAAACAGGAAAAGACTAGCTTCCAGGCAGCTAGGACAAGGGTATCAAAGCCCATGCCCACAGTGACTCACCTACTCCAACAGGGTCACACCTCTTAATAGTGCCACTCCCTGGGCCAAGTATATACAAACCATCAGATTCCACTCCCTGGCCCCCATAGGCTTGTTCAAACATATGAGTCTATGGGGACCATACCTAAACATAACATAATAAAAAATACATTTAGTCCAACTTCCAAAGTCCCCATAGTCTACAGTGGTCTCAACAGTGTTAGAAGTTCAAAGTTCAAAATCTCTTCTAAGATGCATCCAATCACTTAATTGTAATCCCCAAATCAAGACAGGAAGCAGCTGGGAAAACTACAAACTCTGCATTTCCATGGCTGATGACAAAGCAGTTTTCAGATCTCCAACTCCTTTTTCTTTTTTCTTTTTTAAAAAAGCTTTTAAAAGAAATGTTATGCATTTACCATTGCTCTCTTCAGAGACACCAGAAGAGAGCATTGGATCCCATTACAGATGGTTGTGAGCCATCATGTGGTTGCTGGGAATTGAACTCAGGACCTCTGGAAGAGCAGTCAGTGAGTGCTCTTAAACACTGAGCTATCTCTTCAGCCCCTCCAACTCCTTTTTCATCTTTGTTGACTGCAACAATCTTCTTTCTCCTGGGCTGGTTCCACTCCCTGTTAGCAGCTTTCCTCAGCGGATATCTCATGGCTCTGGCATCTGGAACATCTTGGGATCTTCAAGGCAACGTCAATGTTACAGCTTTTTGTTTCAATGTCTGGCATCCCCACACTTGATCTTCTGGGCTCCCCCAAAGGGCTGGTGTCACTTCTGCAGCTCTGTTTTCTGTAGCACTCTAAGCTCAGGTTGATCCACTCCACTGCTGCTGCTGTTCTTGGTGATCATCCCATGGTACTGGCATCTACAATACTCTGGGGTCTTCTGCTACAACTAGGCTTCTCCAATAGTCTCTCATAGGCTCTCTTCATGGTGCCAAGCCTCAACTCCTTTGCATGATCCCTTCACTCCTGGGCAGTCAACTACAACTGGGGCTGCACCTTCACCAATGGCCTTCCTTGGCCTCTCACAGGGCCAAGCCTCAGCTGCTCTTCATAACCCCTTTATGCCTTCAAAACCAGTACCCCTGGGTGACTCTTACACATTACCAAGTACAGCTGCAGCATGAGGTACAACCTTGGTTATCTCTTGAACACAGCTTCTTTGTGCTCTCAGAGAACATTTCCCAGAAGATTTCACCTCAGTGATGCTGGTCTCTTAATCACCACTAATTTCTTAGCTCCAGCTAACCAGCATCAATTGTCCCAGTAGTCTCCTTTTCCTCTTGACTCTAAAGCCAGAGCCACATGGCCAAAGCTGCTGAGTTCTGCTGCTTGCAGGAGCTGGAACATGGCCCTTTTGTTCTATTACATTATTACCAGCTTTCTGTTTTCTAATTCCTTCACTTCCTAAGCTTGGCTGTCCTTGGACTTGCTCTGTAGATTGACCTTGAACTCAGATCTGCATGCCTGTCTCCTGGGATTAAAGGTGTGTACCTCCATGCCTGGATCTAAATTTAGCTGGGTAGGATCTTGCTCCCAAATCCCTTAATCTGTTATGTCTTAGAACACAGGGTTCAGTTCCATTTCATTTCCTGGTGCCCCTTTAATATTCAAACCACATATTTTATATTTTTTCTTTCTAAGCTTGCTACACTTGTTCAAAATGCTCTTTATGAGACTTAACCAGAGAACAAGTCTCTGCTGGGCTTTTTTGAGACTTCCTTTGTCGATGCAATTAATATAAATCTCTTCACTTTAGCCTTAGGTAGACTCTTCAGACAAGGGCAAAAAGCAGACACATTCTTCACCAAAATACCACAAAAACAGTCTCTATGCCACATACTGAAATTCTTCTCCTCTGACACCTCTTGGGCCAGGTCTGCACAGTTCAAGTTACTCCCAGCAACAAAGTCTTCCATATTCCTACTAGGATGGCCCATTAAGCCCCACTTAAAACATTCCACTGCTGCCGGGCGGTGGTGGCGAACGCCTTTAATCCCAGCACTTGGGAGGCAGAGGCAGGCGGATTTCTGAGTTCGAGGCCAGCCTGGTCTACCGAGTGAGTTCCAGGACAGCCAGGGCTACACAGAGAAACTGTGTCTCGAAAAACAAAAAAAAAATTCCATTGCTTTCCAAATTCAAAGTCCCCAAATCCACATTCTTCCAAACAAAAGCATGGTCAGGCCTATCACAGCAATACCCCACTCCCAGTACCAACTTCTGTCTTAGGGTTTTACTGCTATGAACAGACATCATGACCAAGGCAACTCTTATAAGGATAACATTTAATTGGGGCTGGCTTACAGGTTTAGAGGTTCAGTCCATCATCATCAAGGTGGGAGCATGGCAGCATCCAGGCAGGCATGGTGCAGGAGGGGCTGAGAGTTCTACATCTTCATCTGGAGGCTGCTAGGAGAATACTGACTTCTAGGCAACTAGGATGAGGGTCTTAAAGCCCATGTCCACAGTGACACATCTACTCCAACAAGGCCACACCTTCTAATAGTGCTACTCCCTAGGCCAAGCATATACAAAGCATCACACAGGGCCTCTTCTTTCTTTGTTGGGCCAACCCTTAGAAGACTGGTCACTTATTTTTTTCTTTTAATGTTTGTTTTCTTTCCCTTGAAAAAATATGCTTCCAACATTCTTGGCTGAAAAGTGGTATAACTCAGAAATGTGTAGATGTAAAACTAAAAGAAATGAACCACACTCTGGCAACCATAAGTCCTGGGTGCGAGAATTTTTATTAGTTTCTTGCTATTCTTTTCCTTATTATCATTTCCTTTTTATATTATTGTTATTAGATAGAAAAATTGTATCAATTTTATTTTCAGCCTACCTCCCCCTCTCTAAGTTTGTTTTTATACTGTTTGTTTTTTAGGTGATGTCTCTATAGCCCAAGTTTGCCTTGAATTCATGGTTATTCTCTTGCTTCAGCCTTCTGAGTACTGGGATGAAAGGCCTGCAGTACCTCCATTAATGGGTGTGGCTATGTTTCAGTAAAATTTCATCTATGAAAATAGGCAGTTGACCCTGGTTTGTTGATCCTGTTGTATAGTGCTACATCTTACTCAGTGTATTAGAGTTTCTATTCCTATGATAAAATACCATGACCATAAGTAACTTGGGGAAGAAAGGGTTTATTTTATCTTACAGTTCCATACCACAGTTCATCTCTGAGGGAAGTCAGGGCAGTAAGTCAAGGCAGGAAGCTAGATGCAGGAACTGATACAGAGGCCATGGAGGTGTGATGCTTACTGACTTAGTCAGCATGCTTTCTTAGAGCATCCAAGACTACCAGCCCAGGAGTGGTACCACCCAGTGAGCTAGGCCCTCCCATATCAATTATCAATCAATCTGGTGGGGATATTTTCTCAGTTTAGGTTCCAACTTTTTCCCAAGTGACTCTAGTTTGTGTCAAGTTGACATAAAACTAGCCAGCAGACCCTTTGTCACACTATACTGTCAATGCTATAAATATTCTTCATCCCACTCTTTCTGGACTTTAGAGTTTGTTCCAATTGAGGATTCTTTTGTTTGTTTGATTTTGAAATAAGGCCTGATACTGTAGCTCATGCTTACCTAGAACCCACTGTCTAGCCTAGACTAGCTACAGACTCATAGCAATTCTCCTGTCTCAACCTCGTCAGTGTTGAGATAACAGTGTCAGCTTCTACACTCAGTCAGTTTGAGAGTCTTATAGATACTACTGCTCTGAGCATTTTTGAACCTACTCCCTGTGTAGACACGTGCCAGTTTCTCCAGGATGTCTTCCTGGGAGAATTACTCCATCCTAACACACTACCTAGCACCAGTGTGATGTATCATAGCTGCATGTCTTCATCAGCTCTAGCTGATGGCTTGGTTGATGATATTTAAGGCATGTGTAACAGCATTTTGCTGTATGTTTATTCTGTATTTCAGTGAGTACTTACAGAGTTGTACATTTGCATACATTTATTGATCATTTAAGCTTTCCTTTCTATGAAGTGCCTGTCGAAATCTTGCTTATAAAGGCTTGTTTTCTCATTGATTTTTGGCTTGTTTCATATATGGCACACACAAGTCCTGGGATGCTTAATGTAACATACATATTTTCCCCCAAAATGTGTGTTATCTTTATATAACTTTTGTGTGTGGTCATTGGTTGTATAATTTACATGTAGTCAAATGTACCCATAATTTCTTTATGGATATAATCTTTTGTATTTATTGTAGATAGCATTCCTACTCTGACACATTATCTCCCAAGGCTTTATAGCATTTCCTTCTGTGGTTAGGTTAATAATCTTTCCAGAGTTGATTTTTGTATAGTATGAGGCAGGAGTTCAGTTTCATTCTATTCTGTATGGATACACATCTGTCCTAGTACCACTTAATGGAAATTCATTCTTTTCTCCATTGGTCTGTAAACCTATCACCTTTGTTAGTCATCAGGTCTCTGAGTTCTCTATTCTAGTCTGTTTCTCTCTCTTTTTTTATGTCTTAGAGATCATAAAAAATGGCAAAATAAACCCATAAGATAAAAGTTGTTTTTCCTCCTCCCTCCCTTCACTGGAGATTAAATCTGGGCTTCATATGTACTGCACAAGTAAGATATACTCAAGTCCTATTTTAATAGCAGTCTTACTGAGCTATAATTCACATAATGTAAAACTTACTCTTTCTAACAGTGAACAATCTAGTTTTTTTTGGGAAGAGTTTTCATATACTTGCCAACCATCATAGCTAAGTCCAGAATATTTTTAAATATGTATTTATTTTTATTTTATGTATATGAGTGTTTTTCCTGCATGTATGTCTGTGCACAATATGGATCCAGTACCCACTGAGGCTATTGGATCCTCTGGAACTGGAGTTACAGACAGCTGTGAGCTGCCATGTGGGTGCTGGAAATCAAACCCAGGTCCTCTGGGAGAGCAACAAGTGCTCTTAACCTCTGAGCCATCTCTCCAACCCCTAGAACATCTTATTATTCCCCAAAGAAGTTCTATACCAGAAGCCAGGTGTGGTGGTGCATGTTCCAGCACTTGGAAGACAGAGGCAGGTGGATCTCTGGGAGTGAGCTCCAAGACAGCCAGTGATACATAGTAAAACCCTGTTTCAAAAAGGAGAGAGAGAGAGAGAG